TAAGCTGGTGGTACAAACATTTAATGAAATATGGACATTGAGAATACATCTACTTGGATTATCACTGTGGAGAAATATAACATTTATTTTTTTAAGGTCACCAATGCAGTAAAATAAATAAAATAGACATTTTAGTGCTGTTTCTTAGTGTTACCTAAACGTTCTGCTACATCAAACATCAGTTTGAAATGTCAGTCAAATCTAAACATCTATCCAGTGCCGATACATTTTAAGCAGTTATCTGAAGATACTCATATGGTTAAATTAACAAAAGAACTGTTAAATATACGCAAACCTCACCTCTAGCAGGGGAATAACAATGTTATAACAGCAACTACATTTTTTATTAAGAGGATGTATAAAAAAAGTAATCATCTAAAAACAAAACTGCAATAAAATTATAGATCTACAGAAATTACATCACTTATATTATTTAAAAAAAAATGCATCAGACTTTCTGCGGCCATAGAAAGTTGCCTTGATAGCGTTACTGATGAAAATGGATATTATCAGTGGGGAGTGTCAATTGGTGGAAAAAAGTCTGGAAGATGCTCCGTACTCTTCTAATTTTTTGGTTATATAATACTGGATGCATCTCAACAGTGAGACTTTCAGCGTTCATGAATCCCAAAAAACAAAACAAAACAAAAAAACATTGGGGCTGTTTTACCACCATAGTCGACAGCAAAAGATGGGAAAATCGAACTCATTGCTGTATTGTATTGTTCACTGCTGCTCCATTGAAAACAATGGGCTATCCGGTTTTCTGTTGACCATCTACTGCTGTGATTTAAACACAGTGTGAGTTTCTACTGTTTATTTCTGTTTATGAAGTGTGATAATTAAGAGCTGACAGTATCATTTGGCAATGCAGTGTTTCGAACTAAAACTATAGGCTGTGTATAATTAAAAATAAATTGTAAATACAAAATTAGGCTGATATTATCGGTTATCAGAATTTTTAGCCCTTAATCTGTATCAGCTACACAGTACAAACCATGCAAACCATCACACAAGAGGCAAAGTACAAACAAATAAGAAAAGAAACATTGTGGACGTGTTGTGGTTTCTTCGTAAATCTTGCCATTTTTAACTGGTGAACTTTGTGCTGCATCACTTCTTACGTTGTAGATAAGATACAATCTTCTCAAGCATAACTAAGGTGATGTAAGCAGACAGGACTGGTTTACATCCCCATGTGACTTTGTTGTAATGGACTAAATCTGTTCCCTTCAGTTCCTTGTTGTTTCTCAAATGAAAGTTCTGTAATTCACAGATAAGGACGGTGCTCCACTATCCTAGTTCAGTGTATTGATGAAAACCAACCTACATTGGCGCTTAACACATAACAAAGAATAAAGAGTTACGCTGACCTAATGACGCCATTCATTCTGGTGGTAAATTGCAGAAGATCTAAACTGATTTTCTGTGGATGAACCTTTTTTTATGAAGTTGGAAACTTAACATAGCAAAAATGTGAATGTTCAGTGCAAGATTTAATATATAACCTGTTTATAAATGTACAAAAGCCACTATTTCTCACTTTTATATTATTCATACTGTTTCTTTTACTGCATAATGGCTGAGCTTGTGTAAAAATACCACCTGACTGGGTTGGTCACATGGGTAGCTTTTATGGATTAAAGGATGAATTATGATGGAAAGAATGAGTAGCATGTGGAGTGAGTGAGGGAAGACGAGTTAAAGCAAGTGTGTGGTAAAATTGTGGACATCTGTGTAATTTAGAAACCTCAACCTCAGCTACTTTCTTGGTTTCCCACACATCAGAAGCCAGCTTTCCATTCCCATCATTCTGATATTTTCCACACAGTCCATGTTGTTATTCGCAAGAAAACAGTCTTAAATGGAAGAGACAGAGCTTACTTTATACCTGCTATCAGCCATGTTGAGGCAAAAGATGAGGAAACTGGAACGGCAAGCTTGTCTATTAGATTTTTTTCAATGCTGCAATTGTGTTGTTCATTAAATCAATAGAGTATTATGACCTAAAAGTGGGGTTTAGTGTGTAATATTTTGTAGCGCAGCATTTTATCTTCAGCCTCATCAGTTTGACAGAATTCAAGATAGTATATAATTTTCATGGTTTCGTTCATCGGTTTTCTCTCCATACAGTACCCAGCATGTATTATGCAAATGAGTCAGACAGCCATCAAGAATCCCTGTGGTGTCAACCAATCCTGACTGCTAGCTTAGCCACTGATCTACAAGCTGATAAATACAACTAAGCTAGCATTAGTGTAACTTTGGGCATCAAGCACAATTGTAAAGAAAAGTGATTTATTTCTTGCATTCTGTTATATTTAGCACAAAATGAACACCAGAGACATGTTTTTTTATTATTATTATTTTTGTGTCTGAGAAAAGAAGCCAGATAAGGTATCTAGATATACAGATGCCTGCCTTATTGTATTTAAAAGGCAGACACCTGTATATCTGAATTGAAGACAGTCACTACAGTTATATGACTGCAGTAAGATAATCAACTTCCCAGTAGTAAAATTCGGTATCTGCCTTCCTTCTCCATTGACCAGCTAAGGATAGTAAAATCCCAAATCAGATGTAGTTTTTCAAAGGTTCCTCCCACCTTCAAGGGGGTTTTCTATGATTCAGACTGCTGTAGCACCGCTGTATGATGTGAGTAAGCATATTTACAAGATGTAGCGATGGTTAAGTTGTTCATTTTGACCGGAGGGTCCCTTTAAGCTGTGTTGACCGTTAGTAAGAATGAACTGCTGTTCATATCATAGTAGTGATGTAAATGTTCATCAGGTAATTTGTGTGCGATTTATTTAACCTGTACCTGTACCAATATATTCCACCATTCTTCATGGACATTTTCCAAACCTGTTTGTTTCAGCCCTAGAGCAGGTGCGGAGAAAGCATTGTCGCAGTAAGGTGGATGTGTAAGCCTCTGTAAAGCTCTGTAAGCCTCGTGGAACACAGCAGTCACTGTAATAGGATGCAGGCCAGCACTCAAGCTGATGTTTAACATGTCTGTCGTAATTTAGTGGCAGCGGAGTGATGGATAATTTCTTATTTTTTCCACTCCGTAGGTCCAGCTTCCCCACCACAGCAGTGCTAAAAATAAGAAAACTTCAGCGGTGCCCAAATATCTTGTCATGGAAGCCACTCCGAAATACTTTGTGCTCGCGAATTATGTCTCTTTCCATTGTCATTTGCCTGCAAGATCGTTATTGTTAGTGAAGCTTAGTGTGCCGTGTGGGTGGAAATGGCCAGGGGGCAGTCCACTCTGCAGTCCGTACACACATGCATCACGTGCATGATTACAGTTGCTCTGCTGACTCTCGTTATCTGCCATTGATTTGAAGAGAGAGTTTAACCCTGTAAGGCTGGGAAACGTATAGGAGACCAAATGTGCAGTTTATAGCGTTGATCTATGAGCTTCAGGATGAATCAGAAAATACGATGAAACATTTATCTTTAGGGCAGGATGATGTTTTAGCTTAACAGAGGATAATTTTCCATGTCGTTTAATAAAGATAATTACTATATATATGGATGTTCACACATACTCAAGTACTCTTTTATCCATTTCGAATTGCCACTATGTGAATACTGAGATTGCTGTTCGTGTGTCTGTGTTTCAATACAAGAAAATTCATTGAAACTCTGGTAGTATGTTATACTTTGATTTTCTGAAAGCCACAACATGCACGCATTATTAAGGATGACTGAGAAGGCAGAGATAGCATAGCTTTGTTGGCAGCTAGGCTAACTACTCTTGCTGACGTTAGCTAGGTCCAGAAACAGTGGAAAAGTGTTTCTCTGACAAGCCAACATGTTGGCACATTGTCCACTGAGGAGCAGGGTTAACAGGGTTGTTCCAGTTAGCTCAGTAGTTCATTTGAGTGTCTGTTACAAATCCAGCACTAGTGATGTTCCTCGGCTACTATTGAATAAAAAATGTTTTGAAATGCATTTCTCTGCCTGTGCGGGTAAAAAGGTAAGCCACGGCTTTCTCTGCCGAAGTCAGTGATTTTTTTTTTTATTTATTTATTTATTTTTTCATCACAGCCATGATGTTATTCGCCATAACACACGACCTCAAGTGTTCTATTGCTTTTATACAACAGTTAAATAAATAAAGTAAGAAATACATAAATTGGGTCGTGAATGTGGCATTTAATGTTTTAATGTTAGCAGTTCCTTCCGCCGAATTTTAGTTCCTTAACAAGCAGAGTAACGAGCTCTGCTTACTCGCTGCACAGTCTGCTGTAAGCCCCGCCTTTTGAAGTTCAGACAGAGCCATAAAACTGCCGCAATATCAAGTTTAGCGCAGTTTTGTCATTTTTTTGCCAGATCAGTATCAATGTTGTTTTGTTCCAGCCAGTCTGTAAAGCATCTTACAGCCCGTTTTGTTTGGCGAATGGTGTTGGGTTCATTTCTGGCTGATTCCAGGTTGTTTAGCTGTTCTTCTGTCTCAGCTGCCGACTGAGAAGCTGCTCAGTGGTGATGACAGTTTGGGAATTTAGTGTCGTCTCATCTTCAGAGTCTGACCAAATCGGCTGTCGGTCAAATGTGATCTTAAAAGTGTCCATTTTCCGTTTGTGGCAAAGTAAGAATTAAAAATGTTCAAATGGTTTGAGCATCTCGTACAGCTGTCAAAGTCGTTGCTTAGCAACTGTGTCTCAGCGGAGTGATGGTGTTTGTGAAAAAAAACGTGCTGTTATGGTGAAATAACATCACGGTTAGAACACTTCTCAACCCTGTTGTTTGCCATATAATTCCTTCAAGTGGGTGGACAGTTCAGCCATGGTCAGCTTGAGTTTTATTTCAAGGCATGGTTGTTTCACATATCTGCTATGTTAGCTCCCTCTCTGTTTCCCTTTCTCTTTTCATGCTGCTTGCTGCTGTCAGACGAGCTGTCAGGTGTTTTACACAGGCCAAAAAGTAATTAATAAAACCAGATTAGCTGCTTTACACCTAATGCTTAAGAGTCTGTTCCCTCTGCTGTGCAGGTCAAGAGGTAGTCCAAGATGGCTGCAGCATCTTATGATCAGCTGCTGAAGCAAGTGGAGGCACTGAAGATGGAGAACTCCAACCTGAGACAGGAACTTGAGGACAACTCAAACCACCTCACCAAACTGGAGACGGAGGCCTCTAATATGAAGGTATGTTTCAGAATTTAACCCATGGCTAGGGGTGGGGAATTAGACAAGATTTAATTCACAATATGATTGTGAATATATTGTAGATCAAGGCTGAACAATTGTTTTTATATTGAATTTGCGATGTGAGTGTAATTTTCAAATCGGAAGAGCTACAGTTTTAACCTAGATTTTTATCCTAGATTATTCAGCATTATTTCAACAAGTTTTAAGTGGGGAAATTTAAGCTAATAACACAAAGCTTGTGAACTAGCACACTACATTCAGCAGTCAAGCCTCAAGCCTTTTCCTTCTCAAGGGAGGAAGAAAGGCTCGGAGCTTAATTTATAGAAAGTAATCGTGATATTGGTCAGAAAAATTGCATTTAGACACTTTTCTCAAATGGTGCAGCCCTGTATTGGATAATGACGGTGTTTAAAGAATATTCATCTCCATGTTTCATTACAAAGAGAACAAAATTAGTGGATTTACTGTAGCACAGTATGTAAATTGTTGAATAAAATTGAGTTACTCAGTTTAAAATTGAGTTTTTGATAGTAGTTGTTAAGTGTGGCATTCTGTTGGTTGCAACTTATTAAACCTCAGAAAAACAGAACATCGTGATACACATTGTGTATCGTGAAAGTGTCCTTGAGTAGTTTTTTGCCATATTGCCCACACCTTCTGTTGGCTATATCAGTTCTAGAGCATTTATAACGACAATTTAATGGACTGCAGCTGTTTCATATCAAATGGATGATGAGCCTCGTTCTTGATGTAGTGTAGGCCGTTTATCTGGCTTTATGTGAGGTGTATTTATTGTGCTTGCATTCAACTTGAATTACATAGCCAGCTTATACTAAGAGCAGTAAGTCAAAATGATGCCTTCTTTTATTGAAAGACAAGGCTGAAGTTAACTCACTGCTTGAAATGGACTTTTTTGTGAACCCCAGCCTTCCTCCAAGTCATTCTGACTGTGCTTTCTTTTAATGTCTTCTGCCCGGCCCTTCACGGCAAAACATCACTCTCGATCCGTTCTTTCCACCTGAATGCTTTTTTGTTTTTCCTAAACCCTGAAACTGACTGCTGTGTTCAGCTCTTGGGGAGCTTTTGATGCGGAAGAGTCAGCCTGCTAGGTGGGAATTGAGTCGTTTGGATGTGACTTGGCAGCCCTCAGCTAGGGGAGGAGAGAGTGTGACAGAATGGAGTTGTTCTGGGCTGAATGTGCAGAGGCACTCTGCTAAAAAGACTTCTGCAAGTTCCCGAGTGCACAAATCTGAAAGAGCTCTGTCACTTTCGATATAAGGGACTGTTTATTAACATCATTTTCGAATGTTGTTGTACAGCGTTTGAGCAGTTAACTGAAAAAAGTGCTGTTGAACGTCATTCTCTGTAATGTCTTGTTCATCAGTGTCTGTCGAGGGGTGTTTGTGCCATTTTATGGAAGTGCATTTGGTGTTGCTAGGGGGGAGGCTTTGAAGCGGAAGCAGATTTCCGCTCTACATCTTCATTCGTTGTTGGATTCTTAAGGGGAAAGTGAGTCTTTCTGGTTGGAGAGCTGTGGAAATGAGACATAATAAGAATCGAGACATCTGTCAAGTCAGTCAGATTAGATAACCTAGTTATTATAACCTGAAAATGAGCATCAGCCAGTCTGTGACATATGTTGGATGAATCATAATCATGTTCGCTGTGTCCATGTTTGTCAGCACTCAGTAGATTTAACGTAATCATTTAGCATTCCATTTACTTTTCTCCATACCCCTCGCTTTATTTCCCCTTAAGGACATTTATTACTGTGATGTAATTGCTTTAATGTGAGAGAGAGGACCTTTCATTCCAGACGGCATTGTCAGCCAGTAGCTGTGCTGTTGCCAAAAGCGAATGTTCTCTCCTGCCCCTTTCTGAGGATGCCATCGTTGCTAGTAGAGGGAGCCGAGGGAATTGCTTCTCTCTCTGGGGTCTCAAGAGGTAAAATCTCTGTTCATGCCTTGGGTTATGTAAGAGGTCCTGGACATGTCTAAATGTGTCCTCCCACATTTGGAAGCTGTAATGCTCGAAACGAGCCCACCACACGGGCACATTTGGCCGTCCCTGATGCCAGTGGTTATGTCAACTCTAGGAATAATCATACCCTTTGGAGCACTAATGAGACATTGGTTTGGCCAAATGCAGTTTTAGCTCTGACAGATGTGGGCAGTACATTGTCTTCTCGAGGCTATTTAGATTACAAAAAATTAGGCTATGCCAGTGAAGTGCACTCCTCTTTGTGACGTTTGCCTTTTAATTTTCCTGTTCAGAGGTCTTAAAAATCGGACTTTGAATCCAAATTCACTGGCAGGTGAGTCACTACGTGGTCACTCTGCCACTTCAGTGACTTGGCTAACTACCTGTACCTTACAAAATACAGGAATGGAAACTGGATTCAAGGTCAGGGGCCAGATTTATGAAAGTGTCTTAAGAATAAAAATCTTTTAAAATGTTTTTTCTTAACTTCTTTCTTAAGAAGAAAAGGTATGAGGTTGTTATTCTTCAAATAACATCTTATTTTGTTTTCTTTCCTTTACTATTTTTTTAAGAATAATTCCAAGAAGTGGTTTTCTTGAAAATATTATGTTCTTAAATGTTCTCTTAACCTTACAATAGCCTCACACTTGTCTGAGGCTGTTAGGAGTTGACAAGGTAAGCTTCTAAATTTATCACTGATAAATGCTGCTCCTGCCCATCCTCGTCCGTCACCCCACAATTATACTATTTTCTAATGAGAATTTCTTTGCTGTTGGCTGTTTCTTCTACTATAACCTCTAGTTCTTATTTTTAAAAACTTTGTTAAACAAAATAAAGAATAAAAGTTAATACAAATTCAGAATGCATCTTACATCATTATTGGTACATGGTAAAATGCAATGTAGCATACATAAGAAAACAGTGAACGTTTCCTTAAGAAATCTTAAGGAAATAATTAAGATGATGGTCTTAAGAGAATGTTTGTTTGAAAAGAGTTTTTTTTGTTTTGTTTTTTTTTTTTAAGCATTCTTATGAACGTCATAGTGTTTGTCTTAAGAATGCTCTCATGAATCCAGCCCCTTGATTTGAAGATCTCTGGTCTAGACCTTCTTTTCTGTTTTTTACCTACTTTCTTTTGAAAGTAGAATTATTTAATGGAGTAAGGTTTAGTTTATTACATAAAATATTAGTCCGGTTTTTCCAGATTTATTATTATTTTTTTTTAGATCGATATACAGATATTTTCTTGGCTGCAAAACAATATGATGTTTGCTGCCCTTTAGAAATAAACTTTATGACCAGTTATCCTCATCAGAGTCTTTTTAGCAATGCTGGTGATTTCTTGGTGATGACTGAAGAATGTACAGAATCTATAGTTTTGGCTCATATACTTGAGCAGGGCTTGACATTGAGCTTCCAGGGAATTGTTTTGTGGGCCTGTAAATTCACATTTTATTTGAATTTATGGTCAAAATCACTTGTTTGTGGTTAAAAAAAAAAGTATTTCCAAATGACTGCTGTAATGCATATTGTGTTTTAAAGTGTTAAAGTGAGTGCTGGACAATTTATAATGTGTGAGTAACAGAAAACAAAAGAAAAAAAAAATTGAGAGCCAGTGAGAGAATGTGAGAGAGCTTTTGGCGTACTTGATTTAAATGGTGTTACTTTCTCAGTTTTTTACAACCATCTTGTCAAAAAGCCTCAGTCACTATTATTTTCTCTCTCACTTACTCACGGACATACACGCTTCCTCTCTCTCTCCTCCCTCGTTCGCAATTTCACGCGATATTCGGAGGTAAATCAGACAGCACCAAGTGAACAGCTGGGGTGCTAATGTTCAGTAAAAAGTAATTAAAGACACTAACATTAACAGAGTGCTGCTTCTTAATTCTGTATACAATTATTATCAAAAAAGCAAGCATACGTGAGAACCATGTGGTTTGATGGTCACTTTTGCAGCTGATGTAGATATTTCCCATTGAAATCAGATGTATTTGCTTAAAAAAATAATATTGGTATTGGACAGATATTTGGATTTGATAGATATTTCAAACCCATGTTTGATGTGTTTTATTGTACTCTGGAAGCATAGTAGCACAACACTTAGGCGTCAGTGGGCAACTGTACTAAAATGTCTGCATTTTATTCATTTTATTGCATATGTATAGTTAAATGTTATATTTTTACCTAATGATGATTAGGGATGTGTTTTCCAACTAATTTTGATATTAGCCGTAAGAGCTTATGTGTATCTGGTTAACTGCAGAGACGGGGAAAAATGGATTTTGGCTGTAATTAACATTGAGCTGTGGCTCACATTTTTAGGAAGCAGCAATGGGATTACACAAACATTTCGCATCATTTTAATCCAAAAAAACCTTTTTTTTAATAATTTTCTTTTAAATTATACACGGTTGAGTCACATTTATGATGACCACTTCCTACTTTCAACGGCGGCAACGTGTAGCTCATGAAGGAAGTCACCTGTCGTGAGCTGGCTTGGTGGGTATATAAGGTGTGGAAGGCACTCTCGACCGATTTGGGTATGAATCCATCCTTGCAGATCACGTACACCCATACATGCTGATCGTCTTCCCTGGGCCGGATGGGATCTTCCAGCAAGACCACGTGATGTGTCACACGGCTAGAAATGTCTGACATTGGTTGGAAGGGCATTAATAAGACTTCCAAGTACTACCCTGGCCCCCTAATTCCCCAGACTTGAACCCAGTTGAGCATCTGTGGGACCACCTCGGTCGTTCGATCTATGGATCCCCCCCCCACGCACCCTCCAGCAGCTGTGGGGTGCACTGCAGTCAGCATGGCTCCAGATACCTGGTAGACAACCTACCAGGGCCTTATTGAGTCACTCCCAGCCTGTCTAGCTGTTGTCCTTGCTGCACACAGAGGTTATTCTGGATATAATAACGTGACTCGACTGTGTATTTCAAAAATAAGGAAATTTGTAGGTTTTCATGTCAGATGAGTAATGTTAACGTAAGAGGCTTCCTCAGATG